TAACCTAACGTAACTAACGTAACAACGTAACGTAACGAAACGAAACGAACGAAACGAAAGAAGAAGAAGAAGAAGAGAGAGAGAGAGAGAGAGAGGAGAGAGAGAGAGAGAGGTGTGTTCCCATACCTAGCACTAGGTGCACGCCGAGGAACCTCGGGTTCAAATTCGACAGGCAATCCAAGGAAGCCATTGAACCGATCGAATGTAACATGAGCAACATGCCTCACATTTGTCGGCCATCCGATCTCCATCGAACCCAACTCGTCTCTCCCAGTTCTACAGGCCACAACTGACTTTCGAAAGGCAGTCAATAGAAGAGCAACAAGGGAGAGAGACTCGTCCTCTTTCTGGTCATTCTCCTGGTCTAAGAGAGGGGAATTGGGGTTGTTAAACCCCTCTTCCACATGTGGGTCATCATTCGCAGATGAGAAAGAGCTTGAGGAGGAAGGAAAACAGGGAGTGGTGGTGGCCTCTGGCCCATAAGCTTGACTGGAATGGAGGACTTCCGTCATAGTTGGCAATGAAAAAGAAATGGGTTTTCTTTAAAAACCTCAAAGATGTAGAGAGAGAATAGAAATGGGTTATCTTTAAAAACTTCAAAGATGTAGAGAGATAATGAAAAAGAACAGAGAAAGAAAGAGAGAGAGAGAATTAGTGAGAGGGGCAAAAGAGATGGGTTTTCTTTAAAAATTTCAGAGATGTAGAGAGAGAACGAAACAGAGCTAGAGAGAGAACGAAACAGAGCTAGAGAGAGAGGATTAGAGAGTGGGACGGGAATAAATCTGTCTGTGAGTGAGAGAGATAGAGGATGAATCTAGAGAGACAAAGAGAGAATTAGGGGAAGAGAGAGAAAGAGGATTGAATATTGGAGGCGTTGGTTGAGTTGGAATGAAGGTAAGGAGTGGATGGTGGGACGTGAGAATCATGAAGAGATTGACAAGGGCTTGAAGCAAAGACAAAGCCATGGAATGAGAGACGATTCACAGAGAAAAATTCATGGGATAGAGAATATATACATTCTTTATAACTTCCATTTTTTTTATTTCGATAAGTTTTATGTGTTGCAATTTTTTGTATTTATAAAGGAATGTGGAAGTCTGGGTTTGATGCAGACATACACAATTCTCATTTGCTTAAAAAAAAAAAAAAAAAGAGCTTTTTTCTCCTTTATTTCAAAAAAAATATACAATAAATGACAAAAATGTCCTTCAATAAGTAAATAAACATATGACATGATTTTTATTTATTTTTTATTTTTATTTTTTATTTATTTTTTATTGTTTTGGATGTAAACAAAGTAAATGAAGCTTTTGTTTGGTACTCTTTTGAAATGTAAAATAAAGTTTGCATAAGGTGTCACTCTTATACCGTAGAAGTAAGGTACATCTCAAAACCTTGTAAAAAATACAGCTTCGGTGCTACAAATGATATGAAATCTATTGTTGTACTTAAATATGAAATTGAAAATTTTAAAAATAAAGTTAATCATATATATCTATAAACATTTGAAAATTTAAAAAAATGGATGGTCCAGATAATGTGTTAGAAGATGAAATACTTTTAAGACAAGAGATTTTAATTTTTTTTTTTTTTTAAACTCCAAGTGGAGATGATAGATTAGGGAGTTTATCTTAATAGAAGCAACCTGGTTTTTAAGTTACACGGTACTTGTACACACGGAAAATAGACCGATTTGACATCATCATAAACTTTTTTAAATAAATAAAATGCCCTCTATTTTTATGGTGGGGGCATATGATAAATAAATTTTATTTAGTGATTGTGAAAATAAAAGGGCATTGTAGTAATCAGAGTAAATGAGGACCGGTATACCCATTTTTTTAAAAAGGCGTGAAGCCGTGAATGCTCCGGATTCAGAGAGTATTCTTGCCTTGCACTACACAAATACGTGGTCCCAGCTCACTTCAAACCCTTTAATTCAAATCTCTCTCTCTCTCTCTCTCTCTCTGCCCTTTAAAGTCATAAAGAGAGGGAGCTTCCTCCATTTTAAAGCTCCCTCTCTGCATTTACAAATCTCCTACCATGTTCTGCTGAATTTTGTTTACACCAAATTGAATCTCTCTCTCTCTCTGGATTCATAAATTTCATTAATATCTAGTGCTGAAAATTGAATCTCTCTCCGTCTCTCTTGCTCTGGATTCATAAATTTCATTAATATGTTGTGCTGAATTTTGCTTACACCAAATTATTTGCAACAAGCAATGTTTAAAGGATGCGGTTAGCATACGGGCATGCCTGCATGTAAACTTTTTTCATGTTTAAAACACAGTTAGGGTCAAACTGCGAATCCCGAAAACTAGTTTAGATTGGTGGATCGGGCTAGAGAATCAAGCAAAAAATCAAATTTTTTTGTCAAAAATAAAAAAATAAAATAAAATAGTAACAAATAGGTGGGGCTGAATCGATTCCTAACAATAGAGAACTGGCCAACTCCTAGGAGGAACTGGCTTATTCCCGATATATGATGCAACCCGACCGGCCCTACCAATTTCTAATTCAGATTAGACAATTTCAATCCAAATCAATATTATTTACAACTTCGGCAACAACTAAGTCATATGGCTCTATAATGTTGGTTTATGATGCTAACACGGATGCCCTACAACACTTTTGAGCTTGTATTTTTTTCTGATTTTATTTTAATGAAAAAATAGGTAAGGAACCTTTTCCCTAACTTATCAAAAACTAAAATAAAATAAAATAAAAATACATCTCTAAAGAACCAAAAGAACTTATTTGTATATCTTCCCAAGCAATGTTATAAGAATTGGATCGGCCACCAAACAATAGAACCAAATTATTAAAAAGATAAAAAATACAAATAATATTACTATTACAGTTTACTGCCCAACTTTATTTAACCACTCCAAGAGCCAAAAACCGGCCATTTCGACCAATAAAATCCGGTCAAACATTGGTTTCGAATGAATTTTTACCTTGGCTCAAATACACTAAAGCATCAGTTTGCAATCAGACCGGTCACACGGGACAGTTTAATCCGGTCTTTATAACTATATTCCCAAGCCAATCTCTCCATATTAATGGAATTCAGGAGACTTTCTCAAACTTAATAAGGCAATTCAACATTTAATAAAGGCCATTCAATTCCTCAAGATTCAAAATACATATTAAAAGCGACCACTAAACATCTTGAGTTCTCTATTTGAAGGATATCCAGTTGACAAATTGATGGACAGCAGATGATTTGAAATGGCATAATTAGTTTTATAGCCCTGAATATCTAAATTCCATTTAATAAAGGCCATTCAATTCGTCAAGATTCAAAATACATATTGAAGGAGACCATTAAACATCTTGAGTTCTCAATTTGAAGGATATCCAGTTGACAAATTGATGGACAGCGGATGATTTGAAATGGCATAATTAGTTTTATAGCCCTGAATATCTAAATATAGAATCTCATAAGTAGTTCTTAAAGTGTGAGTGCGCGACATTATCATCCTGACTTATCATTCGTACCAAAAATGAAGCACCTATCCATCTGCGTCTTGTGCGTATATGAGAGAGTGTGACAAAGTGTCATGTGTGTGTGTATAAGAGAGAGAGAGAGAGAGAGATTAGGTATTTAACACTTCGAGTTAATATATTCAATACAGAGATTGTGTTCAATACATAGAGAGAGAGAGAGAGAATGTGTTACACTACAAAGAAGAGAGAGAGAGAGAGAGAGAGAGAGAGACAGTAGAGAAGTATAGTAGGTATCGTAACGAGAGAACGTAGGTAGGGGTACGGAACGCCCGTAACGTACTTAACGTCGGGTCCGTAGGGTACTT